TCTGGACAAGGGCATATGCAAGTTCCAAAGAGTATTTAGACTGTTTGCGATCGGGTGGATTATGGTCGACGGATCTAAAATTCTATCATCGTTGAAAGTGGTGATATTGGAAAGGGAACTGTATAGGGTGTAGAAAATCAACTATATTTCTTGTACTGTAACTCATGAATTACTGAAATTCAATTTTTATAATAATAATTTATATTTACGATGAAAATTGTCATATAGTGATATACATTGTAAGATGATGACAATTTTATAACTGCCATTCTCTTTCATCATCTTAAAGTATTCGTACACAAGTATTGCATGTATCAAATGTTTCTTGTCGATATATACTGTGAACCCGAATAAAAGTTTTGACAGTTGAATCTGTACAATTTGCATACATGTATTTGAATATGGACATTTGTTTTAAAAATAAAATCATTTAAATTTGTCATAGTTCGTAATATAAAATGGGTCTTAGACACGTCATTTGTACTTGTATACATATTAGGTAACTAAAATGAACTTAGTATTTTAGCATAGGATTTGTTCGGCGAAATTTAAACATGTATCATGTATATCAAGACAGAATTTAAACATTTGGTGACTGAAAAAAGATCACTCTGTATTAACTTTCTGGAAATGGTTTTTTAATTTTTTTTTTAATTTTTGGTAGAATTCTTTTGGACCCCCCCCCCCCCCAACGAACAGATAGGCTTTGCATCAAATATTATTTACTCATGGTAAAAAACAACAAAATTAAATTTCTCCAATTTTTATTTCGTAAATAAAGACAATGTTTTCTAAAAAATAACAATGATATTCAAAAGTCAATCCCATAGCAATTTTTCAAAAAAAGGGGGGATTCCAAATGAAAATTTACCTTGTTAAACTACATCAAAAAATATCCTTAGATACCCCCCCCCCCCCCCATCCCCCCAATGCAGTACGGACCCGAAAGCATAATTCCATAAGAGATTAAAAAATGCTATGCGATGATATCATTGGAAAAAATATTTCAAGAAATATATTGCATTAAACCCTTCATATGACGATTAATTAAAGAATATTTCACATTTTGGATTTAATGTACTTGATTATCTTACACAATTTTGATGATTTCAATCAGTTTACGATATAGTTTTTTTTATTCTTGGGATTTTTACAAGTTCCTGGCGATGCTGTTGTATTTAGATTTCACATTAGAAGGAGGTGGGAAGAGTTTTGTGGCATACATTCTGTTTTCGCGGTACTTAATAAGACCTTTATTATAGAAATTATTTTTTTTTACACAAATCACACTTTTCATTGGTTCAAAAAGACTTCCCATAATGATTACATGAATACAGTCCTGCTGCGTCGAAGAAAATATTTGCTGGTAATAATCTTCCTGCATTTGATGCAGTGCTCTTCTCTGAAATAGATAAATCTGACCGGTTATGAAAACAGTTTTAAAGGAAGCAATACCTTGAAACTTACGTACAGATTAAATCAAAATTTATCAGATTGTATTTTTCGTTTTTGTAATCGTTGTGGTAGTGAATTTCTGTATTGTTTATACAGCAAAGTGATTTGCACAGGAAAAACAAACCCTGAACCGCAATTTGCAAATGAAATATTTCCTATACTACCTGGTACCTTTATTTTAGAATTTAGACAAAGTTTTGTCATTTTGTCACAGAAAGTAATATTTGAATAAGGAGTCTTGATGTAATATATGAGATAAGAGTCTCTTATTTTCCATTCAACATGTACTCTGTTGTAAAAGACAGTATTTACCCTCATATGATGACACACGTATTCAATCCGTGTCTGCAAGGCATGTCGTTTTATTTCAATAGATTTTTTGGTATGTAAGTCGTGGGTATCCAAAAGTATCCCTCCAAAAGACAAATAAATGCTTCACCGAAACGACATATTTTGATACCGAATTAAATGCGCGAATCATTAAAAATTTCGTGATGTTTACTGGCCTTCTTTCCAGTCTCCGCTTCGACTCCGCCATTTTCTCTGTTGCAAAGAAAAATACGCCTTTGCAAAGGAATTTAGGCTGGACCCCTTGATGAATGAAAGTAACTAGTGTTAATTGATAAAATGTCGTCGATATATCTAAATGTCGAGTTGAAGGCCACAGCAAATGTTTTCTTCTTCTCATGTACATGTAGAAGTGTTTGAATAAATGCTGTTTCATGGGAATATAAAAACGGTCGGCTGTTAGTGCCCATCGTAATTCCAACAGATTGTTGGAAGACCTGTTCACCAAAGACTACAAATTAAAGATGTTGTCAATGAGAAATTCCAACATCCTTTTAACATCAACTTCAGAGTATGTGTAGAATCATATTGCTTTTTAACAAAGTAATTTTGTTGATGACCAATCATATATGAAAGTTTCCGAGTTCCATTTTTATTGAAGAAGCAGTTATCTATATGAACTCAAAAAACCTAGTTTTAAATCTATCGTGATAAATGGTTGTATAAAGTGTAGAAAAGTCATACATTTTGATGTTACTAATTTCTTAAACATTTTGTGATTTTAAATTTTCAAAAAAATCGTTGGAGTTGTTGAGAATCCACACTTGATTTACTTCTAGAACATGTTGTACCACAGTATGCCTGTCTCCGTAACAACAGTTAATATTTTTGTCAGGCGAAAAGATAGGGGCTTGGTAGAGCACTTGCTGGCACCGACAATGTACATGTATCTTTGTAATTAAGTTTTTAAATATTACGTTTATGAATCCAGAATAGGTAGTGTAGACCGAACTCACCTTCGTTGAATGGAATGTTAAAAGTATCAGTATTTTAAAAAGACTGAAATGTAATTTTAAAGAATTTCATCCTTAGAAATTGAAATGCGAGTATAAGTAGAATTTCCAAATGTAGAATCAAAGCCAAGTTCTCCTAAACTACAGTTAATTATAATAATGAGCCTTACAAACAAAGACGATGTTGTTACAAGCCTTTTCTGTAGGAACCATAACATGTTGTTCATTTAGTCTTTCTAATTCTTTTCTCACCTCCGACGCTTGCACTTGCATTCATCTGTAAGCTAACTATACAACTTTTGCAGACGACATTCTTCTGTATTGGATAATAAAGTGCCCAGAGGACCAAGGCATTTTACTGTTTGATCAGAGGAGCAGGGGAGGGATTCCAAGGTAATGCTTACTCATTGTAATAAATTGAGGGTCACTACTTCTTGCAACATGCAAAATCCATGGATAATCAGTAATTCAGTCAGGTCTCTTGTTTCTTAGATTCTTATGAACCTAAAATGGGAACCACACTCATAATCACTAAGAAAGTAAAAACAATGTACCATCCTGGCTATATATAGGCAGACATTGAGAAAACGCCTCCCCCTCTTCTTTCAATGTCTGTTCATAGCTTGATATGTATCAACAGTGTGGAGCCCAACAAAGAGACACAACTTGAAAAATCGGACGCAGTACAGATAATGGCGGACTTATATGTCAATGGTGACTACCACCGCACCAGCAGTGTTCCAAAACTTTATTCTTCGTAAGAATTCTTAACTCGAGTACCTCTTCATAAATTGGTTCAATTCTTGAAACTTCAAATTGCAGCTTTCATTTGAAATGGAAAAAATTCTGAATACACGCACCTGTGGTTTTATTTCTTACTATTAGTTTCTGTAGATTGGTTTGTAAAAATAATAATAATAATAATAATAATAATAATAATACATGGCTGAGTGTATCTAATCTACCGAATGTAATGAATCTACGGAATCTTCCAAGTGTAATGTTATTCCTCTCCGAAAATTCAGTATCCTCTTATGAAAAACTTTAATTAGCATCCCCTCTTTCCCCTACTCACAATTCATAAAATTTTCAAAATTTCATTCAAAGGTATCTATATTAAAAACTGAATTATTACTAAGTATGTTCATGTGTATATGATCTCGCAGGAATAACAAACTAATTTTCTTGTATCCATTAACAAATGAAAAACAACATATTTCATTGACTACTTATAGGTATCGAATATTCATGAATTGATTCGAGCTCCAGTCTGACCATGGAGATGTTTGAAATAAAATGGTATTGTATTCTGAGAGCACCAGAGAAAGGGTTTTTGAAGAGGCGTTTGGGCTTAGGGAATCATACACACTATAAGTTTAAAATAAATGTATATTGACAAGACATCAGATACTGAAGAAAAAGGATTTATAATCAATTTAATATAGCTTTGTAATGCCGTTTTCCACAAGTGTAACACAAGAAATATAGCTTTGGAATGGAAGTTTTAAACCCCTTTTAAAGATCTATGAAATATGGGTTAAACTTGGAAGGGGTTCTCCGGCCTTGGATCTCCCTTCTTTTCTCTTTGCCAAAGATGTTATTTAAAAAAATCAAACCCTCTAACGTACCCTATAAAATTATCAAGAAGATACATTTTGTAAACGTTTAAATCTAATAATTGAATATAACATACAATTATTTGTTCTGAAGAATTGCATCCAGAAAATGCTCATGTTAAAGAGGCTTCTTATGCGGGAAAGAAATTTGATTTTGTATGCAAAGTGCCCCAGGCTTTTTTACCAGTTGAGTTGTCGTTTCCAGAGTTTACCGTTGTATGTTTTAGGCATCTTCTCAAGCAGTTTCCACTGTGTACAACTCTTTTGAATTTTCCCAAATTTAAATTAAATCAGTTTTTGGGAAACATAAAGTGGGAGGATTTGGCCGCACTGTAACAGAAAATGGGGGTTGGGGTGGCATTTGGATGATAAATTCCATATACTAAACAGCAAAATATTATTCTCGGAAAAAAGCCCCCCCCCCCCAACACACACCTTTCGCTACCTTTTCCGCCCTTGGGCTCTGTTTTACAAAAGAGCCTACAAACTAATTTTTTCTTCACATAAAATCACAATTATTTTTTTATTAAAGTAATTTCTGTAGTCGCGTGTTTTATTAGTTCGGGTTCGACATTTGCGTTTATCCTGACATTTGGACTTCCGTTTGCCAAGCTGGCTGCCGATCAGCGGACAGTGTTATCGAATGTGTTCCTGTTTTTGTTTAAGAGTTGGTCAATTGTACATGAGAGAAAATGTATTAGAGTAAAATTTATCGTTGGTGAGATGGTGTTAATAGAATAGACGTTTAGAGAGGTCGTTTTGAAGAAAACCGGCAGGTAAAGTTTCGACACAATCTGAAACCGAGCTTATTTACTAACCAGTTTCAAAATCATAGGAACACTATTTACGGGCAATTGCTTTAAGCTTATATTCATTTCTACAACCAAGCGAATATCTGCCTTACTGCCTTGAAATAGAAACAATATTTTAACGTGATATCACACATACCAGTGTACAGGTGTATGCTTAGCTGTATTCTCTTTAGAGAAGTGGACAGGCTTTCGCCTACATCCACTTCTCTTCGCAAGCCTTCATGTTTTGATTCTGAAAAACGTATAAATTTAGAACAGTTGACGGCCTACATTTCAACTGACATTTCCTCTAAAATGTGCCTGGATGTACGTAACACGTTATATTATCAGTTTCAACATAAATAAACACAACTGTCACAAGAAAACCTTCCTTTGCTTATCGCTAATCCATTTTTACAAGATCTCCATCCCAGATTTAAATTATGAGGAAGTAACTCTTGAAGGATTGAAAAACTAATATGTTGACTGTGCGACCGTTTGGGCAAGCGCAGATACAACTTTTCAATTTACTATTTAGACCCGTCTCTTCTACCGCATCTGACATTTGGTGCGTGTAGATACTCTGACGTCACATGACATCATATGTAAGTTGCATTACCAAACTGAAGCCTGAACACTGCTGATTTTAATGAAGAAAGTTTTGTTTACTATTTATCTGCAACATATTCATTAAATCAAGGCGAGTTTATTTTTTGTTGAACAACTCATAAAGGAAGGTTTTCATGTGACAGTTATGATTATTTATATTGAAATTGTTATTATAACATGGGACGGTGACATCTGTTGCATACATTCGGCATATTTTAGACAAAATGTCAGTTGAAGTGTAGGCCGTCACCGGTTCCAAATTTATACGTTTTCCAGAGTCAAAACATGAAGGCTTGCGAAGAGAAGTTGATGTAGGCAAAAGCCTGTCCACTTCTCTAAAGAAAAAAGCTTAGCTGCAGAACTGTAGTGTTATGGTTTTATATTTTAGTCTTTGACCATAATGCTACAGATCCCGTAATGCAAATAAAGTGAAATTTAAGGCGCAAGATTTTCTGCACCCGGTTAATTAAGATGTATTTCTCCACTTTCCAGCATTGGTCAATCCCTTAATTCTAGACATTTTATCACAAATCTGTATATTTTATCCACCTCCTAACCCTTGATAGTCGTATCTACAAACATCTTTAGCGAGATATCTTCAGTAAGTCAACATGGCTGATGGAAGACAGAAAATTCAAAACAAGTGAAATTATTGGTCTATAGATTTTAAAAATCATATTGCACACATAATCATTTTAATTTTATTTATTCTGCAGGAAAATAAATATGTTTGCAAAACTGAAGAAGAAAATAGAAGAGCAAGGGGGGAATGTTCCTGATGCTGAGAAGCTAAATGCCAGTGGAAATGCTTCAACGCCTAGGAAAGGTATTTAATTTTTTTAAATTTTTTTTTTCATTATTTTACATTATTTTTTTTTTTTTTTTTTGTGGTGGCTGGCTTTGAAAACAAATTACTGTTTTAAGCCCTGCTAAAAGATAGAGTGATTTTATTTTGATTTTTTTTTAAATCATAAAAACCACTTAAACATTGAAACAGTGATACCTGTATTTCACATTTTTAATGATTTTTTTCTTTGTTACAGTAACCTTTTTAGAGTTTGACTAAGTCAGTATGATACACAATCAATGATGTCAAGAGTCACTTGCAATATTAATGATCTCAGACTTGTAGGTTACTGATGGTGTATAGGTGTATATGAACAGAGAGTAAAAGGACATGTATTTTTGTTTTAATGGGCTCATTTATGGTTGGTCATGTGATCAAATCCCATGAAGCCCGAAGGGCTTATGGTAGATTTGATCACATGCCAACCTGTATTTACATCCCGATGAAAGTTTTAAAATGATATCTTATTACAGTGTACTTATATTAGACTGATTTACAATGTATATTATGTATAAAGTTTTAAACCCATAAAATGATTGAATTTTTTTCAAAATTCAACGATATAAATTAATTGTGTTGAACTCGTCTACCACTTATGGCATCACTGTTAAATTACGTCAATAGTTAATGACTGAACGATGAATTTAAGGACACATGACGAACCTGTTTTTACACAGAATTAAATACGCCCTGATTAGATAGTGTTATATAAGGGAAAGACTTGCAAATATTATTATTGCATAATGATTTTCACAGGGATCAGTTCTCTTCAGACTCTATTTGGGGAGGAGTCAGCTGACATACCACCACAGTCTCCCGTGACACAAGAGGAGGTAACAATTTGTGTATAAGGTGGAAAACTAATTAAAACTGATGTGGGGATAAAGGGGTAGTGGGATGAATAGATGAATATACCAGTAATTAACAGCATGGTATTGTTTATGTAATGAAAGTTTATCTGTATTTGAATGAGATACTGTTGTATCACTAGTAAGTAAGATTTTTTAACCAATTATTTTCTTGATAAACCCTAGAATCCTGAAACAGTTGGAACTAAAGAGGAAGTAATGAATTTACTGGTCAGGAGAACAGAGCAGTGCAAAAAGCTTGAAAGTAAAATAAGTGGTGAGTACATAGTGATCTCATATAGAGGTATAACAGGTTCATAGGAATCAGTGTTTATACAGTGAAACTTGTCTAATCTGGATGTTGCGTAATCCAAAATCTTGTCTAATACGGTGTAAACTTTAAGTCACATTACAGTAAATTCCTTTGTTTTTAATGTTATCTGGAAGGTTGCCTTATCCAGCCAATTTCTTTGGAACCAGTCTTGTCCATATTAGACAAGTTTTACTGTATATATGTTGACAAAGTAAAACAATCATGGATCCTGTTTTTACCAAGTTTGATATAGTCCTTTTAGTGCATTTGCAAAAGGAAAATAGGAGTTTTGAAATATTTGACAATGATAAATGAATGTGTGTTGGCTTGTTCATACTATTATATCCTGAATTACCTATATTTTCTTTCTATGCACAGAATATGCATCAGTAATCAAGGAGAAAAACAAAATGATTGAGAAGTTGGAAACCAGTCTTGAGAAGCAACAGGAAGGTATAGCCACATGGGAAATTCCTGAAATTTTATTCAAAGAGTGCCAAGTCAAATGAGATATTCAAAAAGATCATTTAGTACCTGATGATCCTGTAAATGAAAGAAAGTATGTTGTGACAAAAATCCTGAAATCTTATGTTTCCTGAGTAGTTTGGAATCTTATTTTGCTTTAGTTGTTTTCAGGCACTACATCGGTGCTCTGAACAGTAAAGGTATTTATGCTTAAAAAAGTCTGTTATGTAAAACTGGTAATTAATTGCATATTTTGAGTCTTAATTGTGATAACTGATCCTAGAGAATATATGATAAACTTTTACTCTTACTTTTGTGCAGATCTAAACATTGATTGTGTTCGCAGGTTTTGAGAAAATCTGAATAAGATATATGTTTCATTAGAAAATGCCACATAATGGGGGGGGGGGGGGGGGTTTGTTACATTTCTTCTAGGTAGTGACTTGTTTGTACAGAATATGTAATTTGTAATAAAATTATATGTATATAAGGCACTCAGTCACAAAAAAAAACCATTTGTAATCCTCTGAAGCCAAACTAGAATTTCCTCCAGTGGTTAATAGATTCATGGTTTCAAAAACCTGGATTCAGTATTGAAAATCCAAGAACAACCAAGCAAATTCAGAATCCAGATGCAAAACAATGTATAATTAGGCAGATTGTTTCTATTTTTAGCTACAGACAAGAAGATACAGGAACAGAATGAGCAGTATCAGCTGAGTCGTGCCAAGCTGTCAGAGGGCTTCACATTGGCTCTACAGAAGAAGGATGAGGTAGTTTTATATTTGTTGAACTGATTACATGTAGTTACATATAATCCTAGTGCTATTTAAGATGCATAATAGGTTTTTAAGAGCTTTATGATAAATATGTTATCAGGGTTGTCCTTAAGAATTAAAATAGAAGGGGACATTTAAAAAGTAGAAGGGGGTCTGGGGTTCCTCCCTTAGCAGGGGGTTAAGGGGGAATAACAGAGTAACTGTGGGATTATGTCAATATAGGTGGGGAAATTCCCTGGCCCCCGGGTCTTAGGGACAACCCTGTATTATCAAAAGATAACCTCATACAAAATAAAAGTATAGGAATTTGGATTCAGGCTAGAACACTAAACTTTATTATTTTATAAAGCAAATGTCTAGCTGCATATTTGATCTTGTTTGCATTAAATATGTTCTGTGGGGCATTGCTTAATGTGTTTCTTGGTTTTAATGTTGTAGGAAAAGCAAACTCTGATTGACAGGGTAAAACAACTAGAGGATGAGAAAACCAAACAATTTGAGCGAGAGGAAGAGACCGATGAATTACAGGGCCTGGCTGCTCAGGAGATGGCCAAAGTTAAACACCTGGTATGTATCATGAAGAAATATGATGTATCAAAAGATAACATGTATTTCAAACATCTTTAAAACAAAATTGTGTAAAAATATAACATGATATGCCCTTTCACACATTCTCTTGCAAGTCTTTTAGGTTCATTTTCATCTCTTGGGTAAAGAATATACATGTATCATTAAAAAGTGCTTATGCAATCTTTTAAAATTAAGATGCTTACACACTATATGTGTCATTACTTTCTTTAGCTGTTAAATACTCAAGAAGAGTTGACAAAAGTGAAGGCAGAACTCCAGGAAAAGTCAACCAAGTTACTGTCTGCAGAAAAGATGAGTGAAAAGTGTGAGCAGGAGCTAAAAGCAGCCCAGAATAAACTGCAGGAACTACAGCAAACATGGTTAGCAAAGCATAATCTGTTAAAAAGCAAGGTTGCTCTTAATTAGGTGCTGACCTCATATTTGTGCCTCTTTAGAAAAGTAGGACAAAATTGTTTGTAGACCAGTGGTTCTGATTTTTGTCCTGAGAACCTTATTCTCTTATTTATTCATACACGAGTTGCCCTTAGTAAGTTGGTGGTCCCCATTGATTTCAAATTTAAATGTCAATGGTCATTTGGTTTTTCCAGTTTTCTCGATACCTCATCAAACGATTTCCAACAAATATCTTGATGGGCATAAAACTCAATTCAGATATTGGCTGCGGCAAGTAGATAATTAGGGCCCTGCTCTGCGGGCGCCCTATAGTGATCAGTCCGTCCATCTGTCCGTCCGAGATCTCTTGTCCAGAGCATATCTTCTCTCTCCTTGGCCCAATCTGGCTCATACTTCACCCACAGAGTGTCTTTGGGTAAAGGGTGTGCAGTGACCTTGAACCATGTTTCTAGGTCTAAGGTGAAGGTCATAGCCGAATTATATGAAAAATCCTTGTCTGGAGCATATCTTCTCTCCCCTTGGTCCAATATGGCTCATACTTCACTCACAGAGTGCCAGTGGTCAATGGATGTTCAGTGACCTTGAACGAAGTTTCTAGGTCAATGGTCAAAAATAGCCTCTCTGTTTAAATTCTTGTCCGGAGCATATTTTCTCTCTCCTTGGCCCAATCTAGCTCATACTTCACCCACAGAGTGCCTTTTGGTAAAGAATGTACAGTGACCTTGAACCATGTTTCTAGGTCTAAGGTGAAGGTCATAGCAGAATTATATGAAAAATCCTTGTCAGGAACATATCTTCTCTCCTCTTAGTCCAGTGTGGCTCATACTTCACTCACAAAGTGCCAGTGGACAATGGATGTGCAATGACCTTGAACAAAGTTTCTAGGTCAAGGGTCAAGGAAAAAAATAGGCTCTCTGTTTAAATTCTTGTCCGGAGCATATTTTCTCTCTCCTTGGCCCAATCTAGCTCATACTTCACCCACAGAGTGCCTTTAGGTAAAGAATGTACAGTGAGCTTGAACCATATTTCTAGGTCTAAGGTGAAGGTCATAGCAGAATTATATGAAAAATCCTTGTCCGGAGCATATCTTCTCTCCCCTTGGTCCAGTGTGGCTCATACTTCACTCACAGAGTGCCAGTGGTCAATGGATGTGCAGTGACCTTGAACGAAGTTTCTAGGTCAAAGGTCAAGGTCAAAAATAGCCTAGAGGATATGCAACATCCGTGATTTTTGTGCCGTTTTTTGATGGAGGGTATGGAGCACCCATGATTTTCACGCCATTTTTTATTATAACAAGAATGACATAGAAGCCCTTTAGACTCAAACAGCACATCCCTTAATAGTACACAAATGTTCCTCTTCAAAATAAACCCTTTCAGCTACATTACATTTTCATGTTCGTTGCTGAAAGCGGGGCCCTTTGAGATGGCCACCATCTCAGTGATATCTAGTTACTTCTTGTATAAATGATGAGATAAGTTGGCATATACAAATATTTTTTGCTTAATTTTGAAATTCTGTATACCATCTCAAATACATTTTCAGTCCTTCGATAAACATATACATGTACAAAAATTTTTGAAAAATTGTATGATTATGTTTAATATACAATGGTTCTATTTACACATGTTTTTTGTTATATTTCAGTGAAATGTTAACAGAGGAGAATTCATCCCACACTCAGCTGGTGGGAAGTCTAACTACGGAGAAAGAGTCCCTAGAAAAGAAGATAGATGTATTAACAGGTCAATTAACAGAGGTAATTTGGTTTATTTTTCTGGTGCTAAACAAAGTGTTATCATATACAATAAGTATGAGATGTACACTACAAGTTAATTTTAATGGCAGACCCAGTGCTCTTTTTTTTATCAGTCATTATTTTTTTATTAAAAAGTCATGTTTTATTGAAGGGTTCATTTCACATGTATTTTATTAACAGAAAACCTCACAAATCTCCTCTTTAGAAGAAGCTAAGACAGAGTTGGAAAATCAGCATCAAGGGATGATAAGAAATTTTGACCTCCACAAAAATAAGGTGGGAAATTGTCTTAAAGTTATAGGTATCACTCAAGGCATTGTTCTTGACTCTGTATGTAAAAGTATTGATCTACTGCAGGCCTCTATGTGACCTCTAAAATTTAGGCGCCAACTGGCTCCTTATCAAAAAAAAAAATTTAGGTGCCATTGCAAATTTTTAGTCCCCAGGCAAATGTTTCTTAGGCACCAATTTAAAAACTGATATTAGTCAATATATAGAGACATGTCCATTGCTAACTTTTGAACTTCTTTTCTGCTCTTTATAAAATAACATTTTAAAATGTTTATAGTTCCATAATTTGACGATCACCAAGTCAATTTAAATGGTCGCCAATTTGGCGACTTACAGAAAAATTTTAGGCGCCAATCATAATTTTTAGGCCCCATGGCGACTAAATTAGTCGCCAATTAGAGCCCTGTACTGATTAAACATCTTTGACAATATAATTTTTATGTCTTGGTCTGGACTGAATTGCACAATTATAAGACACAAAATTGAAGGACATGTGATCTACTTACATATACATAGAATATTTTCATATATCTATGCTTTCATTTCCACACATATCTGAACTAAGTATTTTTGATGTGCCTTGTTTCCAATGTTTATATTAGACTACTAAGCTCCTTGAAGAGAAGGATGATCATATTGAAAAGTTACAGGAGAGGATCCAAATGTTAGAACAAAGATTTCAGGACCAGAACCTTGAAGGAGATGATAAAACAAGGGCAATGGAAAATGAGGTAACATTCAGAAAAAAAAAATCACTTTGTTTAAGGTAATGAGATCATTAGATATCAAAATCATTCAGAAGATTATATGGAATTGATGCACTTCAAATTCAACATTCCTCTGTTCATTCATGTGAAATTTTGCTGAAACAAAAGTAATCTAATTTGAATAAAATTACACACAATTTTAGCAAATTGAGTAAGATTTCCATCAGTAATCAATAAGAATTTAACATTTGGTCAAACAGAGGAGAACACTGGAGCAGAGATTGGAGGAGAGTCGCCAGCAACTGACTGAGATCAAGTCCAGCTGGAGTGATAAGATATCTCACCTGGAGGAGCAGATCTCACATCTCAATCAGAAGATCATTGAGGACAGTGAGGAGCTGGCACAGAGCCAGAAACTCACTGAAACAGTTCGCGAAACTTTTACAGCACAGGTAAGGAACTTTAAAAATTACATGAAAATCAACAGTGTTGCAACAACATTGTTAAAAGACTTTTATCATAAAAATAAGAATTAAAGTTTTGAATTTTTGCCATGAATCCATTCCTTCTTCTGAGATGTAATGGGAAATACTATGAAAATATAATTGTTATATGTTATAAATGATAAGCAGGAGTTCATTTTTACTTTATGGTTTTATTTACCAGTATATAATACAAAAGATTTTAGCCACAAAATCCCACTGTTGCCTTGTACATGTATTTTGATTTTTCTGTGATTGTTTTTGGTATGTTTACATAGAGAAGCTCGGAAGGTGTCACATGATGTCAAGTACCAAGTGACTATCAAACTAAATAACTTAACAGTTGTCGATTGCTAGCAAAAATTAAAAATGATTATAACTATATATATCTGTTAAATTATGCAAAAATCAATGCAAATGGTGAATGTTTCCATTTAAGTCAGTACATATGCATTTGTATTCATGTATCAGTTTTTTGAAATATTGATATGAGTTCTTTAAGAATTGTTTCTGTAAAACAAGGTTATAAGGTCTTCAACATACCATTATTTTTCATGGGGGACCAATTTTTGTAGATTTCTTGAATCAACCTTACCAACAAATTTACATTCTGACAAATGATAACTTTATATATATTTAATATATACATGTATTTAATAGATTAAAACTCTTCTTTCATGAGTTGTAAGTCTTGAATTTTTCATGAAATAGTGTGTTCATTTCAGATTAAACAACTTCAAAATAAACTTGATGATGCTGAGAAAAGAGTGGAGGAAAATTGGCAATTGGCCAATAAGAAGGATCAACTTTTTGCAAAGGAGGTTTGTTTGTAATAAATGACATTGTGTTCATGTGTCTTGTTTAATATTTTTGCTAATAAAAGTGACATTATAAAACCCATATCCTCCACTAGTATTTGGTAGTTTCCTGTGTTAAAACAATCTTCATTAAGAATTTAAAGGTTGTGAAAATTTAGGGTGCCTACAATTTCCCTCAATTATTATCTACTGGACAATCATTTTGTATGTACATTGTACCAGTTTAAAATATACAAACCATTTCTTTATTATTGAAAAATGCCTTGTTGAATTTTATTCCTTTTTTTGTTAGAGAGCAGAATTGGAAAATGAGCTTCAGAAAGTGAAATTTGAGAAGATTGATGTTGAAAATAATTTACGAGCAAAAATTGATTCTCTGGAGTCTCAGATTCTAAGCCTAGAAGAAGCAAAAGAGCATGAGAAGGATAATTCAGAAAGGAAAATGGTAAGTTACAAACATTTTCGGAAAGATATTTTGATACACATATACATCATCGAAAAATTTAATATTTCAAACATGCAGGATGTTTAAAATTTTAACCTTCCAGATGTTCTCAATCTTGAAGTTCATTCTTTTATTCAATGTATCATCAAAACAGCCAACTCTTGATCCATCTCAGAAATGCAGCTTGATAATCTTATTTGAAAAGCAGAATAACTGATTGTACCATTGTTTAATCATGCATTTTGTTGTTGTGCAGTAAAGTTAGTTTAGGCGAAATATAATACTAAGACATTCATAAGTCTTTCCATTTTCCTAAATCTTGATAAAATATATCTTTGTTAGCAAAGATGTCTTTTCTCAATAGCAGTGGAGAAAATGTCACAAACATCAAACCTCATTATGTTTTGCTTCCTTAACTTTTCTGTGTAGATCTTAATACATGTATGTGCTTTTATTCTCGTGATAGTCCCAGTGTGAGAGTCAGCTACAGGACTACATGGATAAACTGATTCACCTAGAAAAGAAAATGGAAGCGGTTGAGGAAGAGAAAAACAAACACATGGTAATAAAATGTTTGCTGTCTCTATTCTTTTTTAATGAACTGTAAATATTGTGTAATGATATTGCAATGATATTGTGTGATATATGGGGCCAGATTTTATCACATCTTTTTTCTGTTTAACAAATTTTTTTTTATCTCAAATTTCTTTCAAAAAACTTATTTTGAAATGTATCCAGAAATTGACTCATACTCACAAAAAAGCTGGTCTTTTTAATGAAGGTATTGAAATAGTATTTCATTTCAAGGCAATGTTCCAAAAACTAAGTTAAATTTTCATATTCTTTAATCTGCCACTGTTGTCCTAAATTTCATTGTAGAATGAAGTCTTATCACTGACAAGTGAATTAAAGACTTTGAAAGGTCAGCTGGAACATGAGAAAAAAATGCATCAAGAATCTCAAGAAAAGGTATCTGACTTGTTTCTGTTTTAAAGATATTTTATTCATAATTTTATGAATTTGGCTAAAACAGCAGACATGAATGCTTTTGACTATTTCTCCATTTATCTAGAGTAGGTGTAATTATTAATTTAAAGTATTGAATAACAGCATGTCAGAAAATCCAAGGTACCAAGGTACCTGCCATGCAGATTAATTCCTTTGCTATGCAAATTATGTTTTTGGTAGCAGTGTTATTATGCAGTTAAAGGACATGTAAATCTCTTTTTTTCCCCATTTTTGATTGAGAACAGGTACTTTTTTGAAAATGCAGGGAATGCATTGGGAATTTTATTGAAGGGATACTCAGCTTTGAGCTAAGAGAGAAAAAAAATACAAGTTATAAACTGTATATGATAATGTGAAAACAATAGTTTGGTAGATACATGTATCAATAGGTAATCAAAAGAACTTGAATGATCACAATATATTCTTTATTGTATTTTTGTAGATTAAGGAACAAGAGACATTGATAATGTCTATGAAAACTGAAATGTCTGACTCAAAGAAATCCACAAAGGAAAGGGAAAAAGAATTTTCATCATGTAGTAAAGGTAAAATAAAATATTAGTGCACAGCAATAAAAAAAAAATGATCGAGTTAAATATTTTTTATTAACATGTTTGTATTATAAGGGCCCCACATCAAAGTGCAGGTGCCCTATAGTAATCACGGGATCCACTAGTCTGTCCATCTACGCTCTGATGCTATACCTTAACTTTAATTCCTGCCAACCCACAGAGTGACTTTATATTTACTTCATAGTTCAAGTATGGTTAGAAAAGATATCTACAGTTTTTTAGGTCAATTGGTCACAGATTACAGACCTGTTACTTAAGATTTAGTGGATGTTTAATAGAAAAAACGATTATTTTGGGGTCACTTGAACAAAAGTTAAGGACAATGCTTGATATGAATTACACAATCGTTGTAATGGATCTTGGACATTTTGTGAAGTTCAAGCTCAGAATGGTTTATATTTACATATATGAACACACTTTTGTGTTTATAGGGTCAGAATGGTTTATGTATTTAAAGCATAAATTTACACACTTTTGTGTTTTACATAAGTAGTTTTATTCACTTAAGTATTCAAAGAGTCTTTATAGATTTGAGGTGATTGCTCAAAGGTCATGTGCAATTTTCTGATTTTTGTATACTGCAATATATGCTTAGTCACTTTTTTTGTTTTTTTATTTTGATCAGCAAGTTACCAGTAGTCTCATCTAGATTTAAAGTAACTATGTTTTATTCACGAATATGTAACTGCATTCTTAATTACTGAAATGTTATGAATGTCTTTTTCAAACAGAGAAAGATGAATTATGCCTTCGCAATGCTGAACTTTCACAAGAACTGATGAAAGTCAAGAAAGATTTAGAAACACAGATTCAGCAATTACATAGTGATAACTGTGAAAAGGACACTGAAAAGCAGCAGCTACTACAGAAAATCGAAACTTCAGAAAGTAAAATTAGTGAACTAGTCACAAAACTTCAGGAATATGAAACACTCCAGGAGCAGCAATCCAGTCACAATAGTCAAATTACAGAACTAGAACAACAAGTGACAGACTTACAAGACCAAGTGGCTGACAAAAACAAAGCATTGAAAAAACAGGAACAGAGGCTTAGTGATTTAAAAAAGACATTACAGAGAGAGTTAAAGGTCCAGGCTCTACCTAACGATCAGCCAATGAACTTAAGGTCGCAATCACCATTACGGGATCAGAGTGGTGTGACAAGTCAGGTTCCGCAAAGTCATCAACAGCATTTAGACGGTTATCATAATGGAGGTGCAAGGGGCAGGACCCCACCTTCACCAAATTATGCCAGTGTTGTTCCTTCAGGAGAGACAAATTTGTCTCCCAATTCACCAGCAGTTTTACATGACATTAGCAGTGTTCAGCACTTAACACAATCTCAGGACAGGGTTAAACGTTTACAAGACAGCATTGAAGGGAGGGGTAATATTCTCAATAGTGCTGCTAATATGAACTCTTTGGAGAAGGATATCAATTTCCAATATCTTAAGCATGTTGTGATGAAGTTTATGCTGAGTCGAGAGGCAGAGGTAAGAAATACTGCAGATCACCTATTTTTCGCAACACCTTATTTTCGCGAGATAGCCATTAACTTGTTATAAGTGAGATAAAATTTTCATGAATTGAGTTCATTGTTCTATATAGCCTTAAGGAATTCTAATATACACGAGAATGAAATTTCCGCTAGCACACTGTCTTGCGTAATTACACAATAATAAAGTTCTCGGGAATAAAAAGTGATTTACAGTAACTTTGTTTCTATGTACATATATCAAAATGAAATACTTGTACATGTATATTACTTACATTCTGTATGTTAGTACATAGTTCCAATGCATGTGTATGTATTTGTTATTTTTAGCAATAAACATTTTTTTAATGCATGTGGAACCAGAGTTCTGCATCTCGATCATGTAATAAATCATAGTAATCTCCAATTTTTATCAGATATGGTTTGCTTATTTAATATCTTAGATACTTTTCATGCAGACAAGAACAAACTTTACCCACAGTCATATTAAGAAACTCACTGACAACATTTTTATTTTTCAGGCCATTCAGCTAATAAGAGCAGTTTCAGTTCTGCTGAAGTTTAGTGCTGAAGAACAAAAACTTATACGAGAGACATTAGAGTGGAAGATGTCTTGGTTTGGCAGTAAGCCTGCTAGTGGCGCTGGACAGAGGGCCAAATTTATACCACCTTCTTTCTAGCTATTTTTAAATGGTGTTTTATGCATATTTAAAGAAATACTTCAATCCAATATCAGTTTTGCATAAAGAAATTATCTCTCAAAATAGAATATCTTGTTGATTTGAACATATTTTATTGTAATTTATAATTACAAAGGGATTGTGCACGAGTTCTGAAACTTATTATCTGTTATTAACTTAGTGACAAGATGACCTTAGAAAATTCATCATCATATGCTTGTTCATATAATTTGATGGTGCTCTTGTCTTCAATTTGAGAGAGCATAGCTAAAAAATTGAAATTAAGGAGTTTACAAAGTATAAAAACTTTCTATACTTTAAAAATGCACAATTTGAAGCCTAGAAATCTATTGCTCATATGCAATCATGCTGTCGTACACAACACAGAATTATTTATTCATGTACTGGATAATAATAAATTATTATCTTTTAAATCTTTTGTTTGTTATTAATAGCAGTGGCTCTCCAGTTGTTCTGAAGAACTACTTGCCGTATATAGACATATGATAACACTTAACCAGAAACACTGAAGCATAAAATATAAGATGCCGAACCAATGATGCCTTTGACAAGTATCTAGTAGTTTATGGAAAGATCTGTTAGTATACCAGTTATGATAAGCTATAAACAGGACTAAAAACCTTCAATGTATTAGCAAGAATAATTGGAACTCTGGGATGTATATCAAATACAGGCTACAGGAACATGCATGGGACAGAGACTGATGCCCATATTTACACCGGTGTTTAAACTAAAAACAGATTAAACTAGTATTAATTGTAACGGGGACCGTTACAGATGTTCCCCAAACGCTCCCCAACTCCCTTTTGGTGTCTTATTTCCTGTAAGCTTCATTAAATAAGGCAATTAAATATATTGGTCATTTAACGCATTTCACGCGCGCGCACGTGCATGCATGTGCAGGTTGACAACATCATTCCGTCTGTACTATAAATGCATCTTTATATTCTCAGTATCAAAACATTTCATCAAAAAATATATAAGTTCCGGCTATATCAAGTATATTGGTCATCTTAGCATTGCGCGCACGCGCACCTGTATGCATGTTCATAATGACCATGCCATTTTGTCTACACTTATGATATGTCTGTTTATTCTTAGTATCAAAGCTTTTCATAAAAAAATATAAAAGTTACGGCTATATTAAGTATATTGGTCATTAAACACATTGCACGCGCGCGCATGTGCATGCATGTGCATGATGGCCACATCATCTTGTCTACACTTTTAATATATCTGTATATTTTTATTATCAAAGCTTTTCATCAAAAAATATAAAAAGTACGGCTATATTAAGTAAATTGGTCATTTAACACATTGCACGCGCGCGCACGTGCATGCATATGCATGCATGTGCATGATGATCATGTCGCCTTGTCTACACTTTAAATACATACAAATATTTTGAGTATCAAAGCATTTCATCAAAAAGTTTCAAAGTTACAACTATATCAAGTAATTTGGTCATTTTACGCTTTGCGCGTGCGCGCACGTGCATGCATGTGCATGTTGACCATGTCATCTTGTTCATACTTTTAATATATCCTTATATTCTGAGTATCAAAGCATTTCATCAAAAAATATAAAAGTTACAGCTATTTCAAGTATATTGGTCATTTTACGCATTGCACGCGCACGCACGTGCATGCGCGTGCGCGCAAAATGACCTTCGTTCCGCAAATCTACATAACATGCCTAGTAACCCTAAAAAGGTTTCACCTCAATCGGATGTGTAGTTTCGGAGATCACTCACGGACAAAAAAGTACCCAGGAAGAAAAATAATAATAACTAGATACTTATTGCCAAGGCAATAACAGGTCTTCCGTTTTCTTGACTTCTTTGAAAAAAAAAACAATCCTCTCAATAAGATTACTCTAAATAATTAACAAAAGTTATCACAAGGCTTCCAAAGATATGTAAATACAGATAAAAACAAACGGAATTACTTTTCTGTTTTCTTTATGTACTTCGTCATGAACGAAAGTGCTCCAAACGAATAAAATGTTCATTCTACACCTAAATTATTCACAACTGATCATCCCTAAAAGTTTCCATGAACAACTACTCATGTTTGAGACAACTTCTTGTTTTTCGGTTGGCACTTCCGCTGAAAATAATTTGCATGGTCATGATCTATCTAACATCTGCATTAGCCAAACATTTCTGTAAAAAGAAAAAAACTTTAAAAATTCACTTTTTTGCATCGCTTCCTTCACGACCGGAAATGACGGCAACGTACGATTTTTACATGATGTAGATAAACTGGTGACTGACTATCAGTTCTGAAAGTTTTATACTTCAGTTATGTACTGTTTTTGAGCAATAAGGTGAACAAAATCTCAATTTGAGGACAGAAAAACACGTGACCGGATGTGCATTTTGCTAAGATGGTTGACTTCATACTAGACAAATGCAGTCTCAATAACATATGTAAAAATCATTTCAAAAACTTTATCAATAAGAGATATTATTGGGAAAGTTAAAAATACCAATTACATAGTTTCTCTCTTATAACCGGAAGTTGTCGTTTTTTGTTTCCAGTGAGATCAACACATATAGAAACTGAGAAAGAGACTCAATTTTATGATGAAAGTTTTATTTCAAAAGAGAAAAGTTTAAATTTTTGATTTCTTTGATCACTTCCTGTAACAACCGGAAGTGACGGCTGACGCTATTAACCCAGAGGGTTTTGCCTACTCATTAAGTTCTATTACTCATATAAGTTTGATGTCTTAATCTCTTACCGTTTCTGAGATTTCACTTTGACAAGTTCTTATTTTGCGGACAGTAAAACACGCGACCGGAAGTGAATTTTACCAAGATATTTGACATAACTCTAGACATTTGCAGTCTAAATAACATATCTAAAAATCATTTCAAAAACTTCATCTATAAGCGATATTTATGGGAAAGTAAAATACTCAAAGTATGTAGTTTTTCGCTAATAACCAGAAGTTGACGTTTCTGTTTCCGGTGGGACCAACATATTCCGAAACTGCGAAACAGATGCAATAATGTGATGCAAGATTTAATTAAAATAAGAAAAGTTGAAATTTTCGATTTTTTTTATCACTTCCTGTGACGACCGGAAGTGACGGCTGACAAATTTAAACATATTCTGCAAACGTACTTGTCATGATCTATAATCCCTGAAAGTTTGAGGTCTTAATCTTTTACCGTTTCTGAGATATCGTCCGGACATGATCTCTTTTAAAAAAAACGGAAATCGGACATATCTAACGACCGGAAGTGAATTTTGCAAAATCCTTAAAAATGTTTTTAGTTTATTTTATTTCTCATAATCCCTGAAAGTTTCAAGAAAATCCATTGAGCCATCTCTGAGAAATCGCTTGGACAAAAAATGGGAAAAAAATAATAATAATAATAAACAGTAGAATCACTATAAGGTCTTCCGTCTGAAACGGAAGACCTTAATAACTAGAAACTCATTGCGAGCAATGAGAGGTCTTCCGTCCGATTCTGAAAATAAAAACAAAAATTCACGCTGAAAAAGTGATAAAAGAAATTCAGCGTGAAAATCCAAGAAAGCAAACCATTAACCATTCACTTTTTTGCATCACTTCCTGTCACGACCGGAAGTAACGGCGATACAAGATTTTCTCACGATTCAAATAAACTGATGACTGACTATCAGACCTGAAAGTTTCAGACTTCAGTCGTTTACTGTTGCCGAGCAATATTGTGAGAACAAATTCTAATTTTGAGGACAGGTAAACACTCGACCGGAAGTGAATTTTATAAAAATCTCTGCAGACTTTTTCAATCAAAAAGATGAAAATATGCATAAAACTCCCAGAAGACTCTCTATTTACCCTGTAAATCCCAAAGAAAAATATTGAAAAACAAAAAGTTGCGAATTTAACATTTTTGAATTCACTTCCGTTTGCGACCGGAAGTAGGAACGACGAAAAATAATGGTCAATCACCATATATACATTTGATGCTCTATCACCTCAGCAAGTTTCATATTCATATCTTTAGCCATTCTCTGATGATACTGTTTACTTTCTTTTATTCTTTATGTATTCAACTTTTTATTTCATGTAATTCCATATACAGGCATGTCCATGTAATCTTTTTCTGCACTTCTATATACTTCTGCATCAGACCATTTGTCTACTACGAAAGGTTGGTCACGATACATTATTTCGCGCCAAACGTCACGGTTAAATATTCGCGCATTTCCTTCGGAATGTATTTTCTATTGAATGGTGATGGTTTCAATGAAATATCAAAATGTATGTTCTTATAACCTGAATATCGAGCTTGAGAAAGTATATTTATCATATTGTACTTATTATATATCGTATGGATAAGTAACACTGAAGCAGTGATTTAGGTAAGATTTTCTTCAAGTTTTATTTTCCTGTTTACCCCCAAAGTGGACTATCCCGATTAGTTACACATTCATGGGAAGACTAGAATGTTTCGCCCAAAAACATGTCTCGTCCTGCGACGGTCAAGGAATCTGATACCATTTATGTTCAATAACAACATCTTTTAGAAAAAAAATATTTTAATCATTTTCATTAAACAATCTTTAAAAAAATGGTTTTCTTATTTCTGTCTTTTCTGTTCATTTAATATGACACAAGCCTGCATGGGGAAAAAACAATGGCCACGAAATAATTACTATATATTGATTGCTTTAGTCAGGCAAGTTTCTTCAAAAGCTTTTACTTATAACCATGGTTTAGGATCAGTTTTTCCATGGTGTAAAACAAAAGGTTGTAGTTATCGTATTTCCACTTGTAGTCATGTCGTTTTTCTACTTTGAGATACAGACAAGAAAAATTATAGTAGACGTTTGAGGAAACCCCGGATTAAAACTCTATTGCGAAACAGAATTGCAACGAAATTGTGATGTGACAATCCAACATTTCCTTCACATTTCTTTGATCCTTATGGTACTTTCATTCAAACAAACGCTCGGCTGACTCCGTAAATTCTGACCTACTTATCGGAGTTTACAGAGACAGCCGCCATTTTGGACCCGCTTCAAATTTAGAAATGCGAATATCTAGAGTTTGGATTGATCAATTCTAAAATAAATTATATATAAAGAATTTTCAGAAGAGTCTCTATTAACCTTATTAAAATAAAAGAAAAATATAGAAAAACAAAAAAGTTTAAAAATACGACTTTTTTAAATTCGCATCCGGTAACGACCGGAAGTATTAACGACGCACAAAAAGGTAATTCCCCTCATCTAGAAGACATAACCTATCATCTCTAACAAGTCTCCAGTTCATATCTTAAACCATTTTTGAAAAAAAGGGGGGACAAAATTTCATTTTAAAATCAGAAAACTGTCAATAACTTGGCACCAGAAGCGAGTTTTCCAAATTTTCCTTCTGATGAACAAAGTTCATTTGACGACGCATAATTCCT